CCAAACCTCCTGTTTCAATTTAAACCTCACTTTCTCCAAAAAACTACTCTGAGCCTCCAGCCTATTGTTCTCTGCTATATCGTTCAAAACATTCTGTATTTCTCCTGTGTTACTGAATGTATTATACTCCTTACATTTTGTGCGTCTACTTGTTTCCTATTTGTCTTGCTCAGCAATGTGGTACACTATCACACTGTATTCTGAACAGCTAAACCTGACACAGAGCTGATGCTCAATAACAATTTGTTGAATGAATCAGAGAGTAAGGGATGAGAAAAGTTAGTCTTAGATTAGCAGAAAACTTTAAAGAATAATAATTACAGCAGGCTCTTCTTATCTGTAGCTTTCCTTTCTATGGTTCAGTTACTTGCTGATAAATAATACACAAAAATAGGGAAGTGATATGCTGGGCTCATAGAGGAAGGAATAGTTCTTGAAATACTAGAGAGCAGATAATAAGGAATTAACAGCAATTAGCAGAAGGAATCTAGAAAAGTGATTTAAGGGTAATATAATTACATTTTTTAAAAGTGGCTATGAAAATGAAGAGAGGAAATCAACTATTAAAAAACAGAAACAGGTCGGGCGCAGTGGCTCAGGCCTGTAATCCTAGCACTCTGGGAGCCGAGGTGGGCGGATCGTTTGAGCTCAGGAGTTCGAGACCACCTGAGCAATAGTGAATACCCCATCTCTACTAAAAATAGAAAAATTAATTGGTCAACTAAAAACACTATATAGAAAAAATTTAGCCGGCCCATTGGTGGCACATGCCTGTAGTCCCAGCTACTCGGGGAGACTGAGGCAGGAGGAACGCTTGAGCCCAGGAGTCTGAGGTTGCTGTGAGCTAGCTGATGCCATGGCACTCTAGCCGAGGGCAACAGATGAGACTCGTTCTCAAAAAAAAAAAAAAGACCAAAAAACAAAAAACAAAACAAACCAGGCATGAGGGCACATGCCTGTAGTCCCAGATACTCAGGAGGCTGAGATGGGATAATTGTTTGAGCCCAGAAGTTCAAGTACAATCTGGGCAACACAGTGAGAACCTACCTCTAAACAAACAAACAAACCAACAAACCCCCTGCAACCTTGATATCAAGGTGGCACATCCCCTGAAATTTAATCAAATAAAAGATTCTTGGCATTAAGTATTTTTTATTGTTTATATCTTTGGGTTTTCCCTGCCTAATTTCCCCATATTAAGTAGGAGGGCCCTTCCTCAAAATAGAGGTTTTTAATAAATTAACAGATTTTCAAAAAGCATTTCCATACCAAAGGGTCAGTTTTTAAAACACAAAAACCAAACAAAAACATTTTTACCAACAGGACTAGGGGAGTATTTTCTCATGGATGTAGAAACAGTTGAAAAACAATAGGCTATTATTACCTCTGCCCATGCTTTGAGAACGGCCAGTTTTTCCATGGTTGTGGCACTCTCTCGGTACAGTTGACTGGAAGATCCTTTTCCGGCCTGAACTTTGTCCAGAGAAGAAACAAGAAGATTGTGTACTCGACGGAGATCATTGAGATCACTGACAACTCCACTTCCGATCCATGTACTACATACCTAGCCACAAAAATTTTTGTATATAAAAAAATTAACATTGTATATGAGAGAATGAAGTAAATACAGGATTATTTTTCTTGAGGAAAAAAACACAAAACAAAACAAAACTACCCAATGCAAAGCTTTACTATTATATTTTATAGCAAATCAACACTAAGCATAGATTTTATTGTACTCCTATGTGGAAAATAAAACAATATTTACTTATCATGGTTTCTTTCCACTGTCAAATTTATAACACGTTACAAGAAATAATTTCCGATCCAAAGCAGGTCAACATTAAATAATTCTTCAACAAATTTCTGTTTACCACAGACAAAGGGTTATGCTAGCTGCTATGGAAGAGATTAAAAACAAAAGTAAAGAAAAAAACCTATTCCCTATCCTCAAGTAAGAAAACACAGATTGAATGAACACATGGGAACATTTTATGACTGTGATACTACACTTAAAAACAGACATGGGAGAAGTTAATTCTAGCAGGAGAAATGGGAATGTTTTAGGTAACAGGAAGATTTGTGTGTACAGACAGGGAAGTTACATGAGAAGAGATGTGATTAGGAAAGTTAACTGGGACTAGAGTATGGTAAAATTTAAAATCCACACAACCTGAATTCAGATTTCCTTCAGTAGACAATCATGAGTTCCATGGCTTCTGAGCAGTTATTAGGCACTTTAGGAAAGTGCATAGGAAGGAATGGTATAGAGAAGAAGCAATATGTTCATTTAAGTGTCTTTTATAATACAACATAAGAGAGAAGGTATGGATCAACTGGGAATAAATAGAAAAGGAGAGGCATCTGAGAGAGTCTTGAAGGTAGAAATCACAGGATTTGGAAGCCAATTAGATATTTTTAGGGGGTAGGGACAGTGAGACACAAAAGTGAGGATCAAAAAAATTTTCGCGCGGAGGCCACGCCTATAATTCTAGCTCTCTGGGAGGCTGAGTTCAGGAGTTTGAAACCAACCTGAGCAAGAGCGAGACCCCGTCTCTACTATAAATAGAAAGAAATTAATTGGCCAACTAATATATATATAGAAAAAAAATGAGCCAGGCATGGTGGCGCACGCCTGTAGTCCCAGCTACTTGGGAGGCTGAGGCAGAAGGATCTCTTGAGCCCAGGAGTTTGAGGTTGCTGTGAGCTAGGCTGATGCCACGGCACTCACTCTAGCCTGGGCAACAAAGTGAGACTCTGTCTCAAAAAAAAAAAAAAATTGCAAAATTTTGATTGTCTAAGCTTCTAACTTGGATGAATGGAAGGAAGGTGACACCATACTTAAGAGAGTTAATATAGGAAAATAGGAAAATTTAAATAGAGATGAGCATGATTTTGATTTTGAACATTTTACATGCTGAGTTCAAAGTGCCTTATGAAAAGATACTCAGCAGGCAATTAGAAACTTGGGTCTGAATTTCGAAGCAAGTTTCTCTCC